AAAAAAAAAAAAAAAACCTTTGAGTGGGGATTGGTTTTTTATTTATTATTAGTATATGCAATATATTTAAATAATAATTTAAATATTTAAAGTTAATTATATTGACCCGGTTAGCAAGGTAGATGTATTAGATTTGACTTATGCTAAGAAAGGTAGAGGTAGAATTAAAAATATTTGGTTATAAAATATTAGAAATGACTTTTCTTTATTAGATTTAAATAAGAATTTGATTCTTAATAGAACATAATGGAGAAAAAAGATTCATGTAGCAAGGATAACAAGCTTGATGTTGTTGTTGTTGTTGTTGTATATTGTACAAGTTTGAATCATATTCCATAGGAAGCTACTAAGTACGTCGGGTTATTTTATAGAAGATAAAATATTTTTCCCATGTTTTTTCTTAGAAAACAAATAAATTAAAGATGATAAGATCCATAAATCAAGGCTGTAGCATCATAACTAGAGGCAGATTTAAGAAGAACTCGGGATGGGCAAATGCCCTCCATGAAATGTGCTTCTCAAATAATATAAGCATTTGAACTATTTTGTCAACCATCCACACTCTCCAAACTCGCATTTGCCCAAAAATTTAGAATTTTTTTTTCTATATCACCTCTAAGATCATATATGTCCCAATTCTATTTTCAAAAGTAAGGCTGATTATGATAATAGTTGAAATAAAACGACAGTATCTTAATTTAAATTCAAAGACTGATGTGTTGGTGGAAAGAGAATTGATTATTCAGCCATTGAATTTGAATTTTCCAAATAAAACATGTATCTACTTGTTAAGTACAAAAAAGGGACCAACTAATTGAGATTGATCAAAGTCGACTTTCATGTTTAGTTTATCTTCTTATATTTTTGTTATTCTTTTGTGAATAGAGGGGTTGTAACAGATAAATGTTTTATCTTGAACTTCTGGTTATTATTATGAATTTTGAATAATGATGCGTAAATCAATAAATGATTTGATATATTGCTGCTTTCATTGATTTAATTGATACAAAAATAAAATTAGTGGCTCTAGTAGATTAAGTAGATGATATAAATGATACAATTAATCAAATTTAGATTTTGTGGTGTAACAGATGCTTTGTATTTTTTAGCCCTTTACGAGTCATTTACATAACAACTCTAGCATCTCATGTGTGCTACCTTCAACTTATCTTTGTGTCTGTGAAATCTTCGCAAAACTCTAAGAAAATAAGTTTTCTCAACAAATGCAATTCTAACATGCAACAAAAATAATAAAAATAATTCCTTACAAAAGTATTTGTCATACCATGTAATTTTCATGTATCTGCTTGATTGGAAAGAACCAAAGAAAATTTAAATGCTATTAGGTATTTTGCTTCAATATGTTATTGAATTTACTTAAAAGTATATATATATATATATATTAAATTTCGTTCAAATAATACAGAACCAATATCGTTTGATTCAAAATGTTGTGAACAATTTTGCTTTTATTATCATTCTATAGTCTATATAAGCATGCGTTATTGTAAAGAAAGCTAACCTTTTGCTCTTTATTTTTCTTATTGGAAAAGACCAAACTCAACTTGATGTGCTGAGATGTGATAAAAACAGGCCACAGATGCTACCTCTTCTATTATAAAAATCCCTTTTAAGTTTCTATGAAGCTCGTGGCCACCACACGGCATGAAGCAAAATGCCAAAGAGTGGCACATGAAGGAACAGAACAAAAAAGAATGCGTAATGCATGAGCTGTCTTGGGATTAAAGAAAGGGAGATGCAATATCTTTGGAAAATGATGATGTTGCTCACTTTGTTGTACATAAAAAAAAAATTACTTTACTAATGTTGTAGTGGATCTTCATGAACATCCATTTGAGCACAATAGTTATCTTGCAATGAATCTATATCAGTCTCTACATCTAAGTTAAGTTTTGAGCATTTAATTGTGTTTAAAAGTTTTAATACTTGATCAACTCTCTAGTCTCAAGCACTTAATCATAAATTTCTTGAACTTCTTATGATTGAGATATTTATAAAACTTGCTTCTCTTAAAAAAAAACATAGTAAGAAAGCTATTTCAAATGAATCCTGAATTAATGCATTTGCTTCTGCAATTTTCAAAAAAAAAAAAAAAATACTGGTTAAAAAAAAAAAAAAAAAAAAAGAATCCTGAATGTCCCAATTACTCATGATTGTATTTATATGTAATCTTTGTGTATAAAATGAACTGTATAATTAAAAATTTATATTTATTCTCATTCCGACAATATCAACACAATCAAAATCATATAAAAATCATATATCTAAGTATAACTACTCTCTTATCTACTCTTCTTTATGGCACAATAACATCCCTATTTCTTACTCTATTTTAGCATGGAGATGCCTTAAAGGTTTTATTCTTGTTGATACTTTAATTCAAAAGAAAGGTTTTAGTTTCCCTTCCAAATGTCATTGTTGTTCTAACATCAAAAGTGTGAACCACCTTTTTGTGAATGGGGCAATTGCTATGAAGGTTTGGCACATGTCACTAATTTGGCCAATCTGATTCATGTGGACCTTCATACCGACCTTCCTTCTTTACTTAAAGGTTGGATGAATACTTCTAAAGGTCATATTTTAAATTTAATTCCTGTTCTTATTTTATGGTTCATTTGGAAAGCTAGAAATGAAGCTAAGCATAATGATATTAAAATGGATGCTAATCACATAATCAATAATATTATTCATAAAGTGGTGCAATTATCTTCATGTAACCTGCTTTCTTTTAAACACTTTAGCCATTGTCGGAATTTAGCTGGTTTACTGGGTGTCCCTATGGGTGATAATGCTAACAGGTTCTATGACAGATTTGTCATTTGGAGGAAGCCTATTTTACCTTTTGTTAAACTGAATTCGAATGGTTCTGTGAGGAATTCTAATGCTAGGGCTGGTGGTATTATTCGGGATTACCAGGGTGTGGTGCTTGCAGCTTTTGCAAGCCCTTTGCATCCTTGCTCTGTCCTGACTACTGAACTGTATCGTTTATCATATGGCATTGATATTTGTAATAAATTGGGTTTTGTTAATGTGTGGATTGAGGTTGATGCTCATCTGATTATTCAGATTTTGAACAACCAGGGCCTGGTTAACCATCATAATTTTTATTTGCTTAGGAAGATTAAAAAGTCTCTTTCTAACATCAACTATACTATCTCTCACATTTTCCGGGAAGATAATGCTTGTGTTGACTGGTTGTCTAATTTAGGGTGCCATATTGATGATTATCAAGATTTGAATATTAGTAACTTAGATCCGATTTTGAAAGGCATGATTAACCTTGATAAAATTGCTCTTCCTTATATTAGACATGTTTAATTTTTCTGCTTATCTGTGCTATGGTTGCTCTGGCTTGGTTCTTGGGCGAGACTGGATTTGCTTATTTATTTTTTCTTCTCATTAGACCTTCAGGTTGCCTATGCCCTTCTCCTGTTTCCTGGCTAATTGCTGCTACTTGTTTAGCAGTGATTATTCATATGGTGTGTTGGTTTCCAAATTAGGGTGCTGTAGTGGTTACACTATTACATTTAAGCTTTGGGTTTGGATCTTCAAAGGCATCTTGAACTGTTATTGTTGTATCATTTTGGTGGTTCTCTTCTGCCTCTACGTTACTGAAACATCTTTTATAACATTGCTGGGAGTTGGATCTGATTGCTGGGAGTTTTGCTGTGAGTTTTG